CACCCCAGGCTGAAGGCGGCCGTGGTGCCCCCCCCGCAGTGTCCTCGTCCACCTGGGCTACGGGCGGGGGGAGCTCCTGGGGCGCTCCTGGTACCGGCTCCTGCACCCCGAGGACCTCGGCCACGTGGCCCGGCAGCACCTGCGCCTCGGTGGGTGTCCCCTCCCCTGTGTCCCCCCCCACCCTGGGGGCTCCACATCACCCCTGGGTTCCTTGGGGTCCCCACGTCCCTCCCCAACTGTGCCCTGGGGTCTCCATGTCTCCCCTGGTGTCTCCATGTCACCCCTGGGTTCCTTGGGGTCTTCATGTCACCTTGGGGTCCCCACGTCACCCCTGGGTTCCTTGGGGTCTCCATGTCCCCCCTGGGGTCTCCACGTCACCCTTGGGTCCTCTGGGGTCCCCACATCCCCACCAACTGTCCCCTGGGGTCTTCCTGTCACCCTTGGGTTCCTTGGGGTCTTCATGTCCCTCCTGGGGTCTCCATGTCACCCTTGGGTTCCTTGGTGTCTCCATGTCCCTGTGTCCCCTGGGGTCTCCATGGCCCCCTTGGGGTCTCCATGTCACCCCTGGGTTCCTTGGGGTCTCCATGTCCCCCCTGGGGTCTCCACATCACCCTTGGGTCCTCTGGGGTCCCCACGTCCCCCCCAACTGTCCTCTAGGGTCTCCATGTCCCCCCTGGGGTCTCCATTCACCCCTGGGTTCCTTGGGGTCTCCACGTCCCTGTGTCCCCTGGGGTCTCCATGTCACCTTGGGGTCTCCATGTCACCCTTGGGTCACCCGGGGTCACCACATCCCCCCCAACTGTCCCCCAGGGTCTCCGTGTCCCCCCTGGGGTCTCCATGTCACCTCTGGGTTCCTTGGGGTCTTCATGTCCCCCCTGGGGTCTCCATGTGCCCCAGTGCCCCCAATCCCCCCATCCCTGATGTCCCCACCCATCCCAGTTGTCCCCATTGATGTCCCCATTGATGTCCCCATGTCCCCAACGTCCCCAATCCCCCCATCCATGATGTTCCCACCCATCCCAGTTGTCCCCATTGATGTCCCCGTGTCCCCAACACCCCCAATCCCCCCATCCCTGATGTTCCCACCCATCCCAGTTGTCTCCATTGATGTCCTCGTGTCCCCAACACCCCCAATGCCCCCGTCCCTGATGTCCCCACCCATCCCAGTTGTCCCCATTGATGTCCCCATGTCCCCAACCGCCCCCCTCTCTTTGTCCCCCTTCCCACTGACGTGTCCCCGTGTCCCCCCCACAGCGGGCGCGGGGGCAGAAGCCCGGGGGGAGCTGGTGACGCGGCTCCAACGCAAGGACGGGCTGGGCTGGACCTGGGTCTACGCCCGACTGCGCCCCGAGGGACCCGCCCTGCTGGCCCACAACTTTGTCATCAGGTGAGTGCACCCCAACATCTGGGGGGACACAGGGGGGTGGGGGCCTCCCCTCCCCACAAGGTCCCACCAACCCTGGAGGTCCCACCAACCCTAGAGGTCCCACCAGCCCTAGAGGTTCCACCAACCCTAGAGGTGCCACCAACCCTAGAGGTCCCACTAGCCCTACAGGTCCCACCAGCCCCGGGAGGTCCCACCAACCCTGGAGGTCCCACCAACCCTAGAGGTCCCACCAGCTCAGGAGGTCACACCAACCCTGGAGGTCCCACCAACCCTAGAGGTCCCACCAGCTCAGGAGGTCACACCAACCCTGGAGGTCCCACCAACCCTAGAGGTCCCACCAGCTCAGGAGGTCACACCAACCCTGGAGGTCCCACCAACCCTAGAGGTCCCACCAGCTCAGGAGGTCACACCAACCCTGGAGGTCCCACCAACCCTAGAGGTCCCACCAGCTCAGGAGGTCACACCAACCCTGGAGGTCCCACCAACCCTAGAGGTCCCACCAGCCCTAGAGGTCCCACCAACCCTAGAAGTCCCACCAAACCTGGAGGTCCTACCAGCCCCTGGAGGTCCCACCAGCACTAGAGGTCCCACCAGCCCCAGGAGGTCCCACCAGCCCTAGAGGTCCCACCAACCCTAGAGGTCCCACCAGCTCAGGAGGTGCCACCAGCCCTAGAGGTTCCACCAGCCCTACAGGTCCCACCAACCCTACAGGTCTCACCAGCCCCTAGAGGTCCCACCACCCTAGAGGTCCCACCAGCTCAGGAGGTCCCACCAGCCCTAGAGGTCCCACCACCCCTAGAGGTTCCACCAACCCTAGAGGTGCCACCAGCTCAGGAGGTCCCACCAGCCCTAGAGGTCCCACCAGCTCAGGAGGTGCCACCAGCCCTAGAGGTCTCACCAACCCTGGAGGTCTCACCAGCCCTAGAGGTCTCACCAACCCTAGAGGTTCCACCAGCCCCAGGAGGCCCCACCAACCCTAGAGGTCCCACTACCTAGGAGGACCCAGTTTCCCCATAACCCCCCCGTTCTCTCCCACAGCGAGGCCGAGGCCTGGTGTCTGAGGCAGCAGTTGGCGGCCGAGGCCCCCCCGGGACCCCCCGAACCCTTCGGGCCCGGCCTTGACTTCCCCGGCGCCGGCATCGGAGCTGGTGGGGACCTCGGTGGCCCCGGCATCAGCCTCGGCGTTGGAGCTGGTCTCGGAGATGACGTTGGGGTCAACGTTGGCGTCAGCCTTGGCCTTGGGGTCAACGTTGGGTGCGGCGTTGGAGCCGACGTTGGACACGGACTTGGGGTCAATGTTGACCCTGGTCTTGGAGCTGGTGCTGGACCTGATGTTGGAGCTGGTCTTGGAGCTGGTCTTGGAGCCAACATGGGGCCTGGTCTTGACACCAACATGGCACCTGGTCTCGGAGCTGCCGTCAGACACGGTCTTGGAGGCAACGTTGGGGCCAACGTTGACCCTGGTCTTGGAGTGAACGTTGGACGTGGGCTTGGAGATGGTGTTGGACACGGTCTGGGTGCTGATGGTGGCACCGGAGTGGGGATGGGCGTAGGAGCCGGCATCAGGGTGGACGTTGGCCTCGGGGTGGCAGCCGGCGCCGACGTTGGCCCAAACCTCGGGGCTGACATTGGAGCTGCTCTGGGAGCCGGCGCCAACGGAGAAGACGTTGGAGCTGGTCTCCAAGCCAACGGCGAAGGAGACGGTCTCGGAGCCGGCGTCGCGCTCAGCGTCGGGGCCAACGTGGGGCCCGCTCTGGGTGGTGGCATCAGAGCCAGCGTCGGGTTGGGCATCGGGGCCAACGTGGGGCCCGCTCTTCCATCCGACGTGGGTGCTGGCGTCGGACTCGCCGTCGGAGCCAACGTTGGTTCTTCTCTTGGATCTGCTGGTGGACTTGGCCTTGGGGCCAACGTTGGCTCCGCCCTTTCATCTGGTGTTGGATCCGGCGTCGGACTCACCATCGGAGCCAACGTTGGTTCTTCTCTTGGATCTGCTGGTGGACTTGGCCTTGGGGCCAACGTTGGCTCCGCCCTTTCATCCGGTGTTGGATCCGGCGTCGGACTCACCGTCGGAGCCAACATTGGTTCTTCTCTTGGATCTAATGTCGGACTCGCCGTTGGAGCCAACGTTGGTTCTTCTCTTGGATCCGGTGTTGGCTCCAGTCTTGGATCCGGCGTCGGACTCACCGTCGGAGCCAACGTTGGTTCTTCTCTTGGTTCAAGTGTTGGACTCACCGTCGGAGCTGGCGTCGGAGCCAACGTTGGCTCTTCTCTTGGAACTGGTGTTGGACTTGCCTCTGGAGCCAACGTTGCCTCCAGTCTTGGATCCGGTGTTGGACTCACCATCGGAGCCAATGTCGGTTCTTCTCTTGGATCAAGCGTTGGACTCTCCGTTGGAGCCAACGTTGGTTCTTCTCTTGGATCCGGTGTTGGACTCGCCGTTGGAGCTGGTGTTGGAGCCAACGTTGGTTCTTCTCTTGGATCTGGTGTTGGACTCTCTGTTGGAGCCAACGTTGGTTCTTCTCTTGCATCAAACATTGGACTCTCCGTTGGAGCCAACGTTGGTTCTTCTCTTGGATCCGGTGTTGGACTCGCCGTTGGAGCTGGTGTTGGAGCCAACGTTGGTTCTTCTCTTGGATCTGGTGTTGGACTTTCCGTTGGAGCCAACGTTGGTTCTTCTCTTGGATCAAGTGTTGGACTCTCCGTTGGAGCCAACGTTGGTTCTTCTCTTGGATCAAGTGTTGGACTCTCCGTTGGAGCCAACGTTGGTTCTTCTCTTGGATCAAGCGTTGGACTCAACGTTGGAGCCAACGTTGGCTCTTCCCTCGCATCCGACGTCGACGTTGAGGTTGGACTCGGCGTCGGAGCCGACGTTGGCTCTTCCCTCTCATCCGACGTCGCATCCGGCATCGGCCTCGGCCTCGGGGCCAACGTTGGTCCCTCTCCCTCATCCGACGTCGCCGGCGGCTCCGCTTTGGGATTCGCCGTCGGAGCCGCTCTCGGAGCCAACGTCGGCCTTTCCCTCGCGACCACCAATGAGGAAGCTCCTCTTGGACTGGGGGGCGGAGCCAATATCGGCGCCGATGGTGTCCCATCGGCCGTCGGAGCCACCCTTGGCCTTGGCCCCACCCTTGACCCTCCCCTTGGCCCCGCTCTTGGAACCACCGGTCTCGGGACCACCCTTGGCCCCTCCTTGGGTCCCCCCATGGGGGCCGCCGTGGGGTTGGCCGTGGGCCCCCCCCGTTTAGGTTCGGCCTTGGGGGTCCCCGAAACCCCGGGGGGAGCCACCGAAACTTGGACCCCCCCTTACACCCCCCGCCAAGCTC